TTCGACCACTGTTCCGACCATTGAACCATTGAACCAGTAGCTTCACCAGTTCGATGCCCGGTCCGGTTTTGAGAACATTGCTCGCCTCGCCCCGGCCCGGCCCAGCCCGGCCTATTTTTTCTTATTTCTTTTAATATTTATATAATTTATATAATATATAAGGTAAATACTAAGGCTTTGTTTGGGAGCATTTGTTCTACAAAAGTCCATCTGAAAAATGGGCTTTTCATTAAGTACATTTACAAATGTCCTTACACAATTTTCAAATATGTTTGGTGAATCTCATTTTAAATAAGTGCTTTAGTTACTTAAATAATAATATTGGGAAGTAATTGTGAAATAGGTTTGAGAAGTAGCTAATTCCCACTTCTCCAAAATAGACTTATTGGGAAGTGACTTTTTTCAAAAGTGCATTCAATATAAATCACCAAACACCCTAAAATCATTCAGATAAACTTTTAAGTCTAGAAGCCCATTTCAAAAGTGTTTCCAAACACACGCTAAATATTGGTCTCATTTTCTCCATCTCAAAACCTCCTCCTCGTCTCGCCTCGGACATCTCCGGCGCCTCGCCTGAGTCTGTGAGTCGCCTCCGACACTGCCTTCGGGACACCGCCTCGACGCCTCGCCGCCGACTCCACTTACAGATTTTAAAGGTAATTACCAAAAATTTTAAAAAATAAAAAATGGTTCATGTAAACTAGGTTGAAAGCTTAAGTGAATAGGTACATGGGTTTCTCAAAAATTACTGAAATTTTAGCTATTTTAGGGGGTGGATGATGAAATTTGAGTATATTTCTAGTCGAGTTCTTAGGAACTTTCTTACCAGATTGTTGTCTGAGCCTTGGATGAGATGGAGGGCACAGTTCATATGGATTATTATTTGTTCTCTTATTTTACATCAGAGGAAAATATTGCTTTGTGAAGATGAAGTTTTTCATTTTGAAGATGGTGATGTTTTATCACAACTGTAGAGGCCAATTTTTTAGAAATGTGTTTTGGCTACCCTTAATTGGTCTGCTCATATTTCTGTTCCAAATATCCAGTCTTATTCCAGGGGTTTGGTAGTTTCTGTTTAGCTTGTGTTTGTATTATATAGTCTTAGTTTTTGTTTGTGTTGCATTGTCGGTAGCATGTGGCGATAGGAGTTGCAAGAGTCTCTGTGCTTAGGCTCCACGTTTCAGGTTTCTCCCTTGCTCTTTTCGACTTCTTAGCTACATTAGTTGCTAAATAAATGCTCTACTGTTAACTTTATTTCTCAACCTTTTCATATTTTTCTCATCATTATCTTCACATTGTACTTAGAATTAAACTGCCCATCATACAATAATCTGAATCTTGGTACCCTCTGAATGCTTATGCTACTACTGCATTGGTTTGAAGTTGTGAAAATCAGTGCCTTTTGTCAGGATTTGCATGGAGGAATCTAGACGATCGAGTAGAAAGTGCCCAAAGCTTTCGGATGGAGAGCAAAACATGGCTTCAATCGATAGGCTCAGTAGCTTGCCGGACGTCGTCATATGCCATATTCTCTCCTTCCTCCCGACAAAGCACTCAGTGGCGACAAGCGTTCTCGGAAAAAGATGGAGGTTTCTATGGGCCCATGTACCCTGTTTGCATTTCGATTTCAGTGGATACAAAATCAGGAAAAGAGGAACACAAGTCTCTGACATCATCAACAGGGTCATTTTCCTGTACAAGGCAAAAAGAATGGATACTTTAACACTCAACCGCGTCAAGTGCAACGAGTATCAGCTGGATACATGGATTATGACCGCCATCGACCGTAGGATCCGGAATCTTTATCTTCAACTTGACTTTGATACAATCCCTCGATCCCTCTTCAACTGCAAAACCATTGTCAGCTTGAAGCTTCAATACGAAAGAGTGTCACTCTCTGCTGTGAAAAACGTGTCTCTGCCTAGCCTCAAGAAGTTATATGTTCATAATCTTGTATGCGAAAATGATGATGGACTTCCTCGTTTTCTTTCCGGCTGTCCGTCGCTCAAGAAGTTGAATATGGCATTCTTGTTTGAGGAAGATTATGTGGCCTGCATAAATATATCATCGCCCACGATAAAGATGCTTCAGATCGCTTTTACGAATGTGTTTCACGTTGAATATAGGATGATAATAAATGCCCCGGCCCTTAGGTATCTCCAAGTGCGTGAGTATGACTTGGAGTGTATAACAATTCCTATAACCATTATCTCCTTAGTTGAGGCAGACATCCGCTTAAAAAGTTATCGCTTCTCAAATCTCGAACCGAATTACAATTCCACGGTGGTGAAGTTTCTTCATTCTCTGTCTTATGTGAAGTGCCTAAAGATATCAGGTCGGTTATTTGACGAGGTACGTAAAATGTTTTGATTCTTCAGTCTCTAAGGCCTCCTGTCAATCAGTTTTCGGCTTTGTTGTTATATATATGCGTAATGTGGTTTTAATATTTTCAGTTTGTTGATGGAGTTGCTTGTTCAACTCTAAAGTTTGATAATTTAACAAAATTTGAAGTCCAAATGACATTCAAATGGAGTGTGCTTGTAAAGTTCCTTGAAGTTGCTGATAATCTTCAAGTCCTTATAGTAAGTGGAGTTTATTGTTGATGCAATTTTGTCTTTACTCGTTTCTCGTTTTTCTTACAGCAGTAGCTCCTTCTTTTGTTTTACTCATTTTGTTATGCTCCTTTTAGTGTGATCAGGATGATGATTATGAAGAGGAATATTTGTGTGCAGCACCTGAACAAGTGCCTAAATGCCTGTTATCATGTCTAAGAACCATAAAAATTAAGTCGATGGTTTCCAATAAGCATGAATTTGACATGGTAAGATATCTTTTGAGGAATTCTCGAGTATTGGAGAGGATGGAAATATTTTGTAGATGTTATGATGTGGAAACGAAATTCCAAGCGCTTAAGAGAGTTTCATTGTTTGAGCGAGGATCAGATGCATGTCAGCTTGACTTCCTTTCGTATTGCTGACTGATTGGCTTGAGATCTTATTATGTAGCAAGTACTGATGTCTGATTTCGACAACTTAATGTCCTCGAGTTCTGTAGTAACTATTTCGACTTTCATATGTTCTGTTGCAATTGTGAGACGATGAAAATATCGGGTATGTAACTTGATGATTATTCATAAACTCCCAAGTGTTATGTTCAGTGTTGCTCAAGTTTTAGTGGCATTTGTACCCACACTTGTTTCAGTTGTAGCAGCTGCTCATTTACTAGCAAGTAATTCTCAACTAATTTTGTTTTGAGTTTGAGTTTAAGCTTCAATGTATACAATATTGGCATTTTTTGAAGATTCAATGTACATGACAAGATAAAAGTATTTTTAAATCACTTTCTTAATAACCACTCTCTTTATTTTTAAATAATGAGCAATTCTATTAAAGTATAATAGCAGAATAACAAAACTTACCTTACTCAAAAATAAAATAAAGAAAACAAATAAATAAATAATTGTATATTTTGTAAAGAATGAAAATAAGTATAAAAACATAAATCTTGTAATAAATAAATAATTGAATATTTTATAAAGAATGAAAATAAGTTATAACTGTTTTTTATTTTATAAAAAAATGTGTCTCTGCCGAGAGCATGAGTTTGAGCTCAAATATGAGAGAAAAAATAGGATTTAGCAATTAATTGGATTACTTGAAAGTATATTGTTGTTGTATGATTAATAGCTTATAGCATATAACTACAAAAGTTTTTAGCATGGAATACAACATTGAAGTTTTTCGGAATGTCAATTGAGATATGTCCGTTGCATTATTATTAAAAATATCTTAGTAATCTCTTTTTTTGATGAATTTAACGGTATCTTACGATCTGCAATTGTATCTCTCAAAATCCGACGATAAGCTTAAATATTTTTAGATTTATGTTATTGCATGTCATCGAATTCTAAACTTCAACCGGTTATTCTGTCGACTCGGTTGTCTAAAACCAATAGGTAAAATCTCAAATCAGCTCTTCATAAAATCTTAAAAAAAAAAGGTTAATTGCTAAATAAACTTTAACCTTTTTACGTTTGACAATTTTATCCGAATCTTTGGGTAATTGCAATATAATTTCGACTTCAATTTACTTATTGGAAGTCAAACCTAAAACCGATCGAACCTTAAAAAAACTGGTCGATTTGAAGGCGGTTCGAACAGATCGGAACTCATATTTACTGGTTCACTCCAGATTTAGGAGGAGACATCGACGTGGAATTTTCGGCGTTGTGCGTGGATATACATTAAATACGTAGAAATTGTCAACTTGCTACGTAGACGACATAAAAACTCGTGTCAATGGAAGACTTGGACACGAAATCGGTCCACAAATCCCTAAAATCAATCACTCTGCACCCAAATTTGCAAGAAGTAAATTGAGGTCGAGATTATATTGCAATTACCCAAAAATTGAGATAAAATTGCCAAACGCAAAAAAGTTAAGGTTTATTTAGCAATTAACCCTAAAAAAAATATATATTAATATAAATAAGATTTTCATCCCTTAAAAAGTTTTAGGAGATATTTTTGAAGTCTCAAATAAATACAATACACCATTAAAATTGATTCATAAGTGGTGTATTCAACACAGACCCCGAAGAAGAGAAGCTAAAATATTAGACGGTGATATACAATACAACCTTAAATTGACGGCGGCGAGAGGAGTTCACAGGTAGGCCGCAATGTTTTCTCTCCGCCGCTTTTTGATTATTCGTTTTCGTTTTTGTTCTTATTATATATCTCTACACACACATGAAAATAAAGCCTTTTAAGCAACACAGTCACAGTTTTGTTGAAATGAATTGCCCGACAACTGTTTGTGGAAATTCCCAAGAGAACAAATCTATGAAGATAACAAAATTTTATGGATAACCTTCTTCACATTAGACTTTGAATTTACCCATGACACAGACAATATCTGAATCATGGTACGGTACCCTCTGAATCCTACTGCCTTTTTTTGTAGTTGTGAAAAATCAGGTGCCCTTTGTCAGAAATTACATGGAGGAAACCAGACAAGAACCAAGTGGAAAGTGCCCAAAGCTTTCGGATGGAGAGCAAAACATGGCCTCGGTCGATAGGCTCAGCAGCTTACCGGACGAAGTCATATGCCACATTCTCTCTTTCCTCCCGACTAAGCGCTCAGTTGCGACCAGCATTCTCGGAAAAAGATGGAGATTTCTATGGGCCAACGTACCCTCTCTGCATTTCAGTTTCACGAAAGTAGAAACACAAGCTTCGGACATCATCAACAGTGTTATATCGCAGCACAAGGCAAAAAAAATGGATACTTTAACACTCTGTAACCTCAAATGCAACGAGTATCAACTGGATACATGGATTAAGATCGCCATCGAGCGCGGAATCCGGAATCTTTGTCTTGAAAGCTTAGATACATTCCCTCGATCCCTCTTGAACTGCAAAACCATGGTAGACTTGAAGCTTGCTGGTTCATTTATTAGTAGAGTGCCACTCTCTGCTATGGACAATGTCTCTCTGCCTAGCCTCAAGAAGTTTCATGTTTCTAATGTTGTGTGTGAGAATGATGATGCGCTTCCTCGCTTTCTCTCCGGCTGTCCGTCGCTCGAGGAGTTGATTATGAAATTCACCTTTGTGGGGAAAGATGATTATGTGGGCTGCATAAACATATCATCACCCACGATAAAGATGCTTCAGCTCAGTCCTAGGGTTTATGATCGTATTGTTGAATATAGGATGATAATGAATGCCCCGACCCTTAGGTATCTCCAGGTGGATGACTATGACTTGGAGTGTATAACAATTCCTATAACCATGATCTCCTTAGTTGAGGCGGACATCTGCTTAGATCATTGTGGCTTCTCAAATTACAAAACGATTTGCAATTCCAAGGTGGTGAAGTTTCTTCATTCTCTGTCTTATGTAAAGTGCCTAAAGATATCAGGTCGGGAATTTGAGGAGGTATGCTTTGATTCTTCAATCTCTTAGTCCTCGTGTCAATTAACTTTCGGCTTTGTTATATATATGCGTAATGTGGTTTTAATTTTTTTCAGTTTGTTCGTAGAGGACTTGCTTGTTCAAATGTAAAGTTTGATAATTTGACCAAACTTGAACTCCGATTGAATTTCAAATGGAGTTTTCTTGTAAAGTTTCTTGAAGTTGCTGATAATCTTGAAGTCCTTACTGTAAGTGGAGTTTAACGTGATGCAATTAAATTTGTCTTTACTCGTTTCTCGCTTTTCTTACAGCAATAACTCCTTTTGTTTTACTCATTTTGTTATGCTCCTTTTAATGTAAGCAGATTTATTTCGAAAAGGGATACTTGTGTCCGGAGCCTGAACAAGTGCCTAAATGCCTATTATCATGTCTAAGAACTATAACAATTAAGTCGATGTGGTTCAAAGAGCATGAATTTGACATGGTGAGATATCTTTTGAGGAATTCTCGAGTATTGGAGAGGATGGAACTATTTTATGCATTTTATGAATGTAATGGGCTGGAAACGAGATTCCAAACGCTTAAGAGAATTTCATTGTTCGAGCGAGGATCCAACGCATGTCAGCTTGCCTTCCACTATTCAACCGAATGTTCCTCGAATTTCATTGTTTGAGTTTGTCATTTGATTGGCTCGAGATTTTATTATTTAGTAAGTACATCTGCATTCGACGACCGAGTGTTCCTCAACTTCTGTAGTAACTATTTCGACTTGCTTATGTTTCGTGCAATTGTGAGACGATGAAAATATTCGGTATGTAACTTGATGATGATTCATAAACTCCCGAGTGTTATGTTCAGTGTTTCTCTAGTTTTACTGGATTTTGTACCCACCCTTGTTGCAGCAGCAGCTCTGCTGATTTACTAGCAATTACCAAAGAAATTGATTGAAAGATTCTCCACTGATTTTGTCTGAAGTTTAAGCTTCAATTCATATATTATTGGCATGTTGTATATGACAAGATACAATGTTCACTAATTTTTAGTTTTCATTTCACTAATTTTCAATATTGATGGATTATACCATACAGGAATACATGAATAGGTGTAAACAAAATGAGCATGGCTCGAGCTCTTAATACTCGAGCTTGAGCTCAAACCGTTAATGAGCAAAGCTTAGCTTGATACCATTAACTAAGCTATAAAAACTTACATGAAATCCATATTTTGAAGTCTTAACGAGTCAACCCAACCACGAATTGAACTAAATGCGTTGTAAACAAATTCAAGCTTGGCTCATTTATCAAACAAGCCAAGCCAATCCGAACACAAGAGCGACCCATTTTGTTTAACAGCTTTACTCACAAATATATATATAAATTCTGATCATGTGGAGAAGTCCCCCTTTCCTTTTATCTATTTCAGTTATTGTTGTGATTGATGCTTACAGTCAGAAAAAAGATAAAAAGAAAACCACCTTATGTCACATTCTGGAGTGTTTCCAGCGGCCAAAAAACTGGCGTACCGAGCTCTATAAAATCCACAAGTTCGCCTTAAAAAGTGTCACGAGCACCAAATTCATGTTTATATCTTCGTAGAAAAGCTTGTATTAAGTTTAATAAACTACAAATACACAACAAAGAAGCAGTAAAAAAAAAAAAGAAAGAAAAACTATCTTCCAAAGTGTTATATTCAACATCCTCTCTTTCCTCTCGACAAAGCTCTCAGTGGCGACCAGTGTTCTCGGAAAAAAATGGAGGTTTCTATGGCCCCACGTACCCTCTCTGCATTTCGATTTCACGAAAGAAGGAAAAAAAGCCTCGGACGTCATCAACACTGTTATACTGCAGCACAAGGCAAAAAGAATGGATACTTTAACATTCGATTCCCTGAACTGCAAGTATCAGTATCAACTGGAGACAATCATTACAACCGCCATCGACCGTAGTATCCGAAATCTTTATCTTCAACTTGAATTCGATAATTTCCCTCGATCCCTCTTCAACTGCAAAACCATTGTAGACTTGAAGCTTGTTGTTGCATGTCCTCGTAGAGTGTCACTCTCTGCTATGGACAATGTCTCTCTGCCTAGCCTCAAGAAGTTTCATGTTTTTAGAGTTGTGTGTGAGAATGATGATGCGCTTCCTCACTTTCTTTCTGGCTGTCCGTCACTCGAGGAGTTGATTATGGAATTCGCATTTTGTGAGAAAGATGATTATGTGGGCTGCATAAACATATCATCACCCACGATAAAGATGCTTCAGCTCAGTCCTTGGGTTTTTCAAGGTACTGTTGAATATAGGATGATAATAAATTCCCCGGCCCTTAGGTATCTTCAAGTGTATGAATATAACTTGGAGTATATAACAATTGCTATACCCATGATCTCCTTAGTTGAGGCGGATATTAACTTACAATATTATTGCTTCTCAAAACACAAAACGAATTACAACTCCACGGTGGTGAAGTTTCTTCATTCTCTGTCTTATGTAAAGTGCCTAAAGCTATCAGGTTGGGAATTTGTGGAGGTATGTTTTCATTCTTCAATATCTTAGGCCTCCTGTCAATTAGTTTTCGTCTTTGTTGTTATATATACGCGTAATGTGGTTTTAATTTTTTTTTTTTTTCAGTTTATTCATAGAGGAGTTGCTTGTTCAACTGTAAAGTTTAATAATTTAACCAAACTTGAAGTCGAATTATGGAAATCCAAATGGAGTTTGCTTGTAAAGTTCCTTGAAGTTGCTGATAACCTTCAAGTCCTTATTGTATCTGGAAAATTCTTTATTGTAAGTGGATGCAATTAAAATTTTTCTTTAGCAATTTCTCATTTTTCTTCCAGCAATAGCTCCTTTGTTTTACTCATTTTGTTATGCTCCTTTTAGATTTCGTGGGTTGATTATAAGGAATATTTGTGTCCGGAGCCCGAACAAGTGCCTAAATGCCTATTATCATGTCTAAGAACTATAACATTTAAGTTGATGCGGTTCAAAGAGCATGATTTTGACATGGTAAGATACCTTTTGAGGAACTGTCGAGTATTGGAGAGGATGGAAATATTTACCGCACCTCGCATTGATCTGGAAACGAAATTCGAAGCGCTTAAGAGAATTTCGTTGTTTGAGCGAGGATCTAGTGCATGTCAACTTGCTTTACTTTCAGATTGTTGAAGGATTGGCCTCAGGTCTGGTCTTATTATGCACTAAGTGCTGATGTCTGCATTCGACAACCGAATGCTCCTCAAGTTCTAAAAACTATTTCGACTTTGCTTATATTTCGTGCAAACGATGAAAAATATCTGGTATTGTATGTAAATTGATGGTGATTCATAAACTTCCTAGTGTGTTATGTTCAATGTTGCTCACAAGTTTTACTGTTTTAGTGGCATTTGTACGCACCCTTGTTGCAGTAGCAGCTCTACTCATTTACCAGCAACTATAAAAAAAAAAATAAAAAATAAAAAATAAAAAAATAAAAAAAAAATAAAAATAAAAAAATAAAAAAAATTGATTGAAAAATTCTCCACTAATTTTGTCTTAGAGTTGAGTTTTAAGCTTCATGTATATATTATTGGCATGTTTTGTTCAATGTATGTGACGAGGTACAAGGTTCACTAATTTTTTGTTTTCATTTCGCTAATTCTCA